TAGGAACATTTAATATGGAGGTAAGTGTGTGGAGACATACTCCATCCTGGCTGCCTCTGTGCGCAGTAATCATAGAGGGCTAAAAAGGGAAAGTCAACATCTGGCCCGGGAGCAGTAATCACAGGTTGGCTGTTATTAAGCTGCCAGACACAACCTTTGAACTGAGAGGATTTAAGCGGCACTCATTACCAGCTCTCTGTGTCTGTCAGGTAGGGCAGCCAAGGTCAAGGCCAACGGACATCCATTTATTATTACTGTGAGAGGGGGAAGCCGTGACGAAGAGTAACGTTGGTTTTCTTTATGTAAGAATATATTTAAAAAGTAATTGATTTCTGTGGAGTTTAGAGTCCGGATTCATCTGCTGGAGATGTACAGGAGCATTATAAATATGAAATCTTAAAGAGACATGAGAAAGAGATAAGATTTAAAACACAGACAGTGGCCACACACTTCATATGACAGCTAAATCATTCAGACATCTTCGAGATAACACAGATCAGTATGTTCTGAAAAGTAGTATTTCAATACAAAAAGAATCGTTCTGAAAAATGCGCTTGTTTTCTTTCTTGCTGAAAGATAAATGAAAATACAGACAACTCTTTGTGCACTGCATGCTACATTTGAGGCTATGAGTCAGCAGTCTAACAAGAACAAAATGTTGTATTTAGTGCGCTTTGAAGCGGTTTGTATGTGTATTTTTGATGTGTATCGACAAAGCCATGCTAGCTGTCTTTTTTTAGTCTTAAGATAAGCTACACATTTAGACATGGGAGTAGCATGGAACTACTCGTTTTATTCTCAGAAAAGAAGACCAATAAAAATATATATATAGCTCTGTCCTTGAAGAAATTGGCCACTCATACTATTAAAAGTCCCTGCTGTTCTGATACTGAACCGGTCAAATAAGTCAAACCATGAGCTGCTTTTAGTCCAGGGTGACCTTACTGCTTGTACAAAACATGCCTCATTTTTATTTTACATTTACAGATAAAGCAGACAATGGTCGATGATGTTCTCTTTCATCATAGCCTTGTTGAAATGACAAAAGATGTGTGATTTGCCAAAGTGTCCCAAGGTGATTTATATTTCAAAGAATGACACACCCAGGACAGCCCACACAGGACAGCCCACACACACACACACACACACACACACACACACACACACACACACACACACACACACACACACACACACACACACACACACACACACACACACACACACACACACACACACACACACACACACACACACACACACACACACACACACACACACACACACACACACACACACACAACACACACACACACACACACACCAACACACACACACACACACACACACACACACACACACACACACACAACACACACACACACACATACACACACACACACACACACACACACACACACACACACACACACACACAGGGCGGATGGGAAGGAAGGATGGGTGTTGGGGAGTAGATTGATCGTTAAGTATGTTTTATGAGCTGAATCTTGTTAACATAATGTTGACTTTTTCTCAACACCTTGAGAGACTGGAGGAGAGGAACCAATGAGGTATGCCAACCAGGATCAGACTGGATGTCAGTGAAGGACAGCTATTAAAAGGAAGAGGAATTAAAGGAATCGTTTGATGTTTTCAGAAACCCATTATTTGTGAACAAAGTGTGGAGAGATGAAGATGTTCTTTTCCCCTTAACACAAATACATTGGTGGCTTTGTCTGAAAAGCTTGGTGATGTAGCATGTTTAAGCTAAAATCAACAGCATGGTGTCAGCGGGAGGTTATCACAGCACTGAGCTCCCCGTAGACCGGGGTCAGGTTACTGATAGAGACACAAGAAATGCAAACACAAGCAAAGGAGGTGAAAAGGCTCGAATCAGACTTTTAGCAAACAGTTGACTCACGTTTTGGATTTCAAGCGGTGGTTCCCCAACCTTAACTGCCTTACCTAACACCAAGCATCTGTGTCATTATCAGCAAGGATTATCTATGTAATTTGGTGTGTAGTCAAACAATGCCTGTTGGTAATTAGTCTCAGCGCTCTTGTGACAGATGAAACCACCTCCAGACTGTACCAAGCTGCAGGAGTTCTGCTGACGCACACATAAACCACTGCCTTAATAATACCTCCCTCTGTTCTCAAACAGCCACCGCTGCTAATTCACCACAACTTCAACCCTGTCTACAGCATTGTTTCAAAGTCCCCTCATTTCATTAGTTTAATTATAGGTTAAGACAGGGAACAGTTTAAGGAATGCAGGATCATTAGGCATTTCTGAGCTTTGCATTCCTTCCATCCTTCCTTCCTTACTCCATCAGCTGGACGTTAGAGCAATGGTTCTCAGCTCTCTAAAGTGGCAGCTGGAGGAAGTGACAACTGGGCAGAAAAGACCCTGGGTAGAGAAATAGTCCACCCTCCGAAGCCGGTTGGCCTTTCTCACGTTACCCATTTCAACACAGAATGCTTACCGAGCACGCCGACCCACGGCTCCGGCTTCAAAGCAGCAGACATAAACAGCATAGGGCTGCGACGGATGTTTCAGGATGGGGGAGAATGTGTTCATGTGTTGGGCGGTGGTGATGGTGTGAAACCTAAAGCCTTGTCACTACACCTCTACAATACATGGATGACAGGCTGCCCATGACCGGGAATGTCAGGGGTCAAGGCTGAGAATCTGAGATTCCCTGTGTCAGAGTATCTTTAAGAGCAGGAATTCAGTGTGTTATGTAGAGAAGGAGTTACCGGGCGTTGAGAGGTCCTCATGTGGCTTTACAGTGTGGGGCAGCTGCTGCTATAAAAGGAACTGATTACCAATTTAGAAAGGCACATAACTTCCTCAACAGGATGCTCCAGAAAGAAATAACATATTTAAGGGGTTCTATGTTTAAACACGCATACACAAAGCCACAGGTGTGGGAATATAAAGGGATGCCCTGACGTTTAAACAAAGAAATCCACGATGACCAAGCCCAGCCTCCTGGCAGAAGTCAGAGGGCACGAAAAAGAGACTACAGGTATTATGTGTGTTTAGTTGGCCATGTCTATGAAGAGGACGGGTTGGGCGTTGAGGGGAGGCTTCGCTGAGGGATTTATGGTGTTGGGTCAACTCCTGAAAGGAAAAGGCCATGCTGATGGGACAGGATGAGCTTTTACGATGATCCTGTGCCACTCCTTACTTTCTAACCCCGCCATCATCTTGTGCAGGGGATTGACTCTAGACACTAGATTAGATCAGAGCAACACAAACTGATACACTGGTCAGCGTTCATTTGAATTCATCTACAAATGAACTCTGTTTCTTCTCAGATCAAATGGCAGAGAGTATGCAAAGGTCGAAAAAAGGATATCTGTATGTGTTGACATCTACATCCTGTAATCTCTCCAACTGATTGATTCATTGGATGCACAGAAACAAATTGTGTCTAAGATTTATCCTGAGTCGAGTTTAATCCTCGTCTTACTTCACTTCCCAAATTCCTGCTTAATTAAATCCACACTGGTCTCCCTGATAAATGCAGGAATCTGGTTCCTTAACCCTAAAGTCCTTTAGAAAACCAGAACAGTTCATTTACTTTAATGCAGTTTTTCATTCAAATGTGAAACAACCACCCCAGATACTTCTATTCCACTGCTGACTAAAGTCAAACTATCATCTTTAGTAAATACATTTGAATGACACCTGAATTACCCCAAAAAATTACATGAATTCAGGAATATTTCCATCCATTTTTAATAGAATATAATCGTTTAATGTCATTATACATGTAAACATTTTTAAGGATGAGTTATTTTCCTGGAATAATCCCTTCCTCTTTAAATACTTTTAATGTATAGCTTTGGTCAAACAGATATCACTGTTGTGTCCAAGGACGAATGACATCCTCTAGCAGTCTGATATTATCTGCTTGAAACAGCATAATCCAGGAGTCACCTCTGAGACACACTGCACCTTCACTGAGTCACAGATCATCTCACCATCTGAGGCGGAGTACTGCTGTTGTAGAGATACAGCAGGTGAGTGGAGGGATCCACCACCAACACACACTGTCTCTTTTTCTGTGAGTGTGTGTGCCCTCGTCTTAGTCAGAGGAGGATGACAAAGCAGACCTATAGCCAGTCTCTGCACAGTGTGTGTGTGTGTGTGTGTGTGTGTGTGTGTGTGTGTGTGTGTTCTAGCATTACTATACTTGTGGGGACCTAAATCTGTTTGCATAGTCACATGTGGGGACTGGCTTCCCTTATGGGGACAAATTGGAGGTCCCCATGAGGGGAATCATTAATTTTAGGGTGAAGACTTGGTTAGGTTTAGGATTAGGATTAGGGTTAGGGTAAGGGTTAGGCATGTGTTGGTTATGGTTAAGGTTAGGATAAGTCTCCAGGAAATGCATGTAAGTCAATGTAATGTCCCCTAAAGTGATGTATACATGGTATGTGTGTGTGGGCTGAATTGCAGATGACACATCCGCAGGGCACACACTCTTCTTCTTCTTTTTTACAGGCACTGGATTGGCTATTATGAACTAAAGCTACAAAGGAGGAAAAAGATAATGACAAGGAGGCTGTCACATGAGTCCTGTTTGTCTTTGTATTTCAGTAATAAGATTATCTGAGTTGAATTAAAGAAGAGATTACAAAGTCACACACAGAAATACTGTAACAGAGGCTTGTTAGGGAGTTAGAGTTCCCATTACAGCTGCATCCTGTACACCAGCCCAGTGCTATAGTCTGGTATTTCAATGCAGGGGAAAGCATTAAAAAGACCACAAACACAGCAGAATAAATGTTCTTAATAGAGATGAATCAACCAACACTTTACAGACGCGTAAACTCAAACTAATCTCAAAGCAGCCATGGACAGGCACGCGCACAGCATAACAACAAAACAAAGACCGTCGAGTGCTCAAAATAATGACAAAAGTCACGTTAAAAGTAGAGAGCAAAGACAAAAACAATGTTTAAGTAAGGGCAAAGCGGTTTCTTACCTCTATAAAGAATGTATCCATTATTACTGAGTGCCCAAAGCTCACGTCCCTTTGTAGTCTGAGTTCAGGGTACCACGGTAGAGGAGGAGAGGAAGCTGTATTCCCAAATTATTTCCATCCGCGTCGCTAGCATAAAGAAAAGTTCTTCCCTCCGTCCCCTCGCTCAAAACTCTCGAGTCATCTTTCAGTCCTGTGTTGCTACACTTCGGAGTTTTTCTTCACCGTTTGTTGGGTGTCCCGTGAAGCCTGAGCGGTGCTGTGTTTCTGCTGTCTGCTCGTTTCAATGAACCCGGCACATTATGCACAGAGGCGGGGCCTGCAGGGTCACAGCCCCCCCCCCCTCCCACAGCATACGCCCTCTTTGTGTACATCCCTACATAAGGCCTGATGGTTTTAAAGGATGTGCACATTTCCCCTGTTCAACACACACACGGTTACTCCTTTAGCAATACAGGATGATGTAAACAAATGCAGGAATTGTTGCAAAATGAAAAGCAAGTCATTTTTTGCAGCATAGTGAATTTAATCGCAGTTAACCATGAATGGTGTATGTGATGGATTGAGCATAAGAACCATTATTTAGACTTCCCCTTTGGGAAAAATAAAATGAGAAGGAAGAGGAAGAGGCAGACCAGAGGGAGCAAGTCTGCTTTGTTTAAGTCAATGATTGTTTACCAAGTGGGGTGGTATTCAGGACATGTGCAGTTTTTTTTAGTGTAGGCCATTAGTCAATGCTGCACAATTCAGGCATGTCCAGAAACTGACTGGGTTATTGTGGTCTAGGCTAGTGATTCTCAAATGGGGGTACGCGGACCCCTGGGGGTACGTTGGGGTACTGCAGGGGGTACGTGAGATACAATTATTTTTTTTTAAAGTTAATTACAAAAATAATCTTTTACAATTTTACATAAAACATTCCTAAAACCACCAAGGAGGTCCTCATATAAACATATCAAATGTGTGTATTGTCACAATAACATATGACTTAAATTGAAAAACTCCTTGGAAAAATCTGTTTTATAAAAGTGTTATGTTATTTCTTCTCATGCATAAAATGAAAATATCCTTAGTTTGTTGTAATGCATACCACGAAGGAGTTAATACATCACACACTGAGGGAACATCACTATATTGTAATTATTTATATAGGCTTTTTCGATCAAAAAATTTCGGGATCGGTCAGGGGGTACTTGGCTGAGAAAATGTTTCAAAGGGGGTACATTACTGAAAAAAGTTTGAGAAGCGCTGGTCTAGGCGACTTAAATGCAGTTTATAGTTTATTTCAAAGTGTCAAGTACTGAAACGTTCTGCTGGTCTGGTTGTGCAGTTAGCATTTATTTGTTCGAAATAGCCAATGTAGATGTAGACCTGTACATGTTAGCTATAGCTAGCTCAGGGTGCCCAGCTATGTGGTGGATTGTGGTGGTTATGTAACTGTAATAGGAAACGTTTCCAAATGTGTCAGATTTTCTTTGGAGGGGGCTACTTCTGTTCCCTCACTTCTGCTATAATAATTACCTTGTGAGAGTAAACAATCACCTTCATGTCATGATTCTGTTCATGCTGGTACATTTAACAGAAATGTTGTATTATCCAAATGTTTCTCCCCAGTCAACAGATGGAATAGTACTGGTCGTCAATTAATTCAGAAGGGAAATGCACAAGCTCTTTAATCTGTGACTTTATGCCAGTAAGATCAGCCATCCTCTCATGACCTGTGGATAGTCAATCTAATCTATAGTCATGCAAGAGATCCAGGCTGGCAATGTGGAGCAATTGTTATGTAACAGTGTTGACTGTGTGGCACGAGATGGCAGAACTCATTCTCTGACATGTATTTAATAATGTTTATTACTAAAAAACTGGCTCCTGTTGGATTTACTTTACTTTGTAAACTCTGTCGTTATTCTCATATTCTAGTTTTGGTGTCAAGGTAAATGTGTTGATGGAGTTTTGTTGATGTATTTACAATAGTATGTAGTTTAACCCTACAGTACAGTACATATATATGTAATAAATAACATACAGCTAATGCTCTTTGATTTATCCTCAAATTAATAATGTTAGGGTGATCTCTTTTTGAATTTCTGAATGTAATGATTTTAGGACCAGTGAAGTTTTCTTAGTTAGCTTTAATGTATTGAATTGCTATTTCCAGCATATGAGTTTGTAGTCTATTTGATAAAGTTTATAAATGTTCTTAAAAGTAAATATGTTGCTTATGTTGGTTGAATTCAGTTGTATGACTATCTTCACAAGTCATATAGTTGCACAGTCATGTATTGTTCTCATCATACACAGTTTAGTTCTTACAGTTTAGTACTAACAGTGTGCTTGCTGGAGGTTTGGGGATTTGTGATTGTTAAACCTTAATGGGCAGCAGCATTAGGGAGAGTATTTTATCCTCAAATCAGGAATGAATGTCAGCTCTGTGAGTAGCCAAGGTGGCATTCTGTGGATATTCAGCATTGCACTGACTAAGCATTGCCCATAACACATTTGCCAAAACCAAACAATGGTGAAATAACTGCTCTTTGTTTCAGTCACTAATTTGACCCCTCAATGAAAACAGTGGCAAGTTGTCAGGCAGAGCGGTGATTTAAAAGTAATGCTGTCTTTCACCCTACCTGAGAGGACAAAGAGAACAAGAACAAAACATCCATTTGGTCATCGAGGGACCGGGGGAAGGGACGGGGATCATAGGCCCTGCTGTTGACTCCTGCTATGGTCTCAACTGCCTACATATGCTGGTTTGATCCTTAATAGGGGGACAAACTGTGCAGGTGAAGTGTGACCGTTGCTTTTGAGGTTGTGTAGGGAACTCGACATTCAAAACAAGTGGTGGACCATCACAACTGGACAATGAAAAGAGGAAAACAACCTCTTTTTGATTCAAAAGACCAAGCAACATTTTTATTGTAAATTATACAGTCAGTGTCAAGAAAGTATTTTAAAAAGTGCAGTTTCTTTCAAGGTTTTTTATTAAAGAATTGAGGAGGTTGAAATATCATCTCTGACCCTACATTCCTGAGGAACATACTGAAGCAGATACCAGGCATACCACAGACTGACGATCAGCTGAGAGTCAGGTATGCAGGGCTTATGCTGAAAATTATAACCATGAAGAGATGTGTTTCCATAATGTTTACTTATTGTCACAATCCTAATGTCATGTCACGTTTTTAGTTTAGTCTGTCTTGTTTTGTGTGTTATTTTGCTGTTCTGTTCCCACCTGTGTCTTGTTATCCTGTCGTTAGTTTCCCTGGTGTGTCTGATTGTCTAATTGTGTTCACCTGTTGCCCTTGTGTTTCTGCCTCCCCTGCCCGGCTGTTTCTTGTCTCGTGATTACCCCTCCCTGTATTTAGTCTTGTCTCATTGTTTGTTTGTCCTCCCTTCACGTCATGTTTCTTGGTTGTCTCTCTGGTCTTCCTCCATGTTTCTCACGGTCAGTTTTTGTGTAGTTGTTTTCTGTTACCGTTTCAAGTTTTGCCATGTGCTTTTAAATAAAGCTCGCTTTTGTTTCAAGACCTTTTTCCGTTTTTTGTAGTCTGCATTTGGGTCCTACCTTTTTCCACGATTCCTAACAGAATGAACCGACCAACAATGGACTCTTTTTATTTGGACTTGGTCTCCCAAGAGTAGCCTACACTCTTCAGTGTCATTATGCTGAATGGAGTAGATAGAACCTCGGCTAAAAGGGACAAAGAGGCTGTCCTCAAAAGGCTCAAATGGAGGTGGACAACGTGCCATGGTTGAGAAGCTCGTTGCCTGAGTTTCTCAGAGTTTTTTCTCGTAGCCCTGAGTGCCAGTCTCCATTCTCTGACCCTTTCTTGGGATCCCGCCTGGCGTTTGGAGGTCCACGGAGCCTCCAAAAGACCTCTAAAAGACGCAAGGTCAGGAAGCCAGCTTGTAATCGGGTACCGGTCCCAGCAGCCATGGTTCCGGCTCCAGTGCCGGCCCCAGCAGCCATGGTCCCTGCTCCAGAACCGGACCTTACAGCCATGTTTCCAGCTCCAGAACCGGCTCCTTCTCAGGTCCCCTCTCGAGTCTCTTCTCGAGTCACCTCTCAAGTCTCCTCTCGAGTCCCCTCTCAGGTCCCCTCTCGAGTTCCCTCTCAAGTTCCCTCTCGAGTCCTCTTTCAAGTCTCCCCTCGAGTTCCCTCTCGAGTCTCCTCTCAAGTCACCTCTCGAGTCCCCTCTCAAGTCCCTACCCAATGTCCAGGTTCCGCTGGGGGTCCTGCCAACTCCATGTCCTGTCCCGTTGGGGGTCCCGCCGACTACTCTTCTGCCGGGGGTCCTGCCAACCCTATGTCCTGTGCCGTTGGAGGTCCCGCCGACTACTCTTCTGCCGGGGATCCTGCCAACCCTATGTCCTGTCCCGTTGGAGGCCCCGCTGACTACTGTTCTGCCGGGGGTCCTGCCAATCCTATGTCCTGTGCCGTTGGAGGTTCTGCTGGGGGTCTTGCCAACTCCATGTCCTGTCCCGTTGGGGGTCCCGCCGACTACTCTTCTGCCGGGGGTCCTGCCAACCCTATGTCCTGTGCCGTTGGAGGTCCCCCCCACTACTCTTCTGCCGGGGGTCCTGCCAACCCTATGTCCTGTGCAGCCGACACCTGTTTAGTCGGAGGTCCTGCCAACTCTATGTCCTGTGCCGTTGGAGGCCCCGCCGACTGCTCTTCTGCCGGGGGTCCTGCCAACCCTATGTCCTGTGCCGTTGGAGGTCCCGCCGACTGCTCTTCTGCCGGGGGTCCTGCCAACTGCATGTCCTGTTTCGTTAGGGGTTCCACCGGATTTCCTGCCAACACCTGATCCTGTCCTGTTGGGGGTCCCGCCGACACCTGCTCCGCCGGGTTTCCTGCCAACACCATGTCCTGTCATGTTGGAGATCCCGTCGACACCAACTCTTGCTCCGTCCAGGGTCCCACTGACGCCGGCCCATGTTCCGTCCAGAGTTGCGTCTACGCCTGACCCGCTAGGGGTTCCACCAGCTCCTGCCCGGCCCCCTGAGTTCCCCAGCCGCGGTCTTCGCCCCCGAGCCCGGCCCCCTGAGTGCCGCGGTCTTCGCCGTCGAGCCCGGCCCCCTGACTTTCCCGGCCGCGGTCCTCGCTCTCGAGCCCGGCCCCCTGACTTTCCCGGCCGCTGCCTTCGCCCTCATGCCCGGCCCCCTGAGTTCGCCCGCTGTGGCCTTCGCCCCTTTTTTAACTCTGCCTTGCCCCCGGGCCGTCCGCCCGAGACTTGTCTCTTCCTGTGTTCCCCTGTCGGTTCATTGTTTGTTTGTCCTCCC